TTCTTGTTCCTAGTAGTAAGGCCAGGAGCTACTAGTAGCTTCTTGCTTGCTTCTTGCTCCTAATAGCGATGCCCTTGTTACCAGTAGCTTTTTTCGATACCGACCGTCAAAACTTGGAACCGGCCCATCCGCCCCCTTTGGCTCCTCCCAGCCCAGCGTGAGCGCGAGCTCGGTGTAGCTCCCCGGTCCATCTGTCAACGGGAAGGGTAAGTCCTCTCACAGGCTCAGCGTTCACAGCCTTGCAAGAAAAAGCGAAAGGTCTACAAGTTAAGTTTCCCCAAAACATCTAGCTTAAGTGACTAGCCCTCTCTCTACTTGGCCCTTTCCCCACTCGTCGACAAAATCGGAGCAAGTTGAGGACCTGAGGCTGTTTGTTTTCCTAACCGCTCCTTTCAAAAAGGAACCTACTAGCGATGGCCTCTCCTTGCGGTGGTAAAGGCTCATGGCGCCCCATTTCCTCCAAAGCTCGCAATGGCTCGACAAGGCTTTGGCCACTTGATCCTCAACATCGGTCTGCTCTGGAGACACTGGCTCCTTGGAGCGACGCCGGTCATTGCAATGTTAATTAAATTCTAAATTAATTCTAATGTGTTCCTACTAGCTTCTTGTTACTACTAGTAAGGCACCTGTTACTACTAGCGTGGCACTTGTTATTACTAGAAACATCCTCTGGTTGTTTTATCTGGTCGCATTTTATCTGGTTGTTTTTGCTGGTTTCGTCGAGGGCTTGATTTTCAGAGGCCCGTCAAGATGAAAACGTTCAACAGCACTTTGGGGGCATTGTCTCCGGAACTGCGAAAGCCGGTAAGCAACTCAGAAAGTGTGTGATTTCGCAAGGTAAGTGTTTGCCGCTTCTTTTTCGCACGGCCGAAGCCAAGGCACGCTTTGACACACGACGAGGGAGCCCCCAGGCAGCTTGGCCAAGACCTCTTCCGGCTTCCCGTGACATACCTGACAGCACTGTTGCTACTAGTAACAGGTGCCACGCTAGTAGTAACAGGTGCCTTACTAGTAGTAACAAAGAAGCTATTAGAATTAGATTTAAAATAGATTTAATAGCTTCTTGTTACTACCAGTAAGGCACTTGTTACTAGTAGCGATGCACTTGTTTCTAATAGCTTCTTGTTACTACTAGTAAGGCACTAGTAAGGCATCCTTTCCATACTCTGAATTCTTGCTAAGCATTCCAAGGCAGAGTCTATTCTAGATTGCATTCATGGCCAGGCCTTGTTGAGATGCAGGTGTATTGCACACTCCCAGTGTTTCCTCCCATCCGATCTCTTGATTAGTACTGTAATGGCTTTCATTTGCATATATAAACAAGGTCTTGAGTAGTAACAGGTGCCTCGCTAGTAGTAACAGGTGCCTTACTAGTAGTAACAAGAAGCTACTAGAAACAAGTGCCTTACTAGAAAGGTCTATTGTCAAACCAAAAACTTCGGAGTAAAGGACGAAGGCCAGTGTCAATCACTGTTGGCCCTAGACAGGACATCAAGAAAGTTCTCATTGGTGATCAGTACTGATGACATCTGCAACCTGGTTGAATGAGGAGGCCCTCGCTATTAAGGTGGAGGCCATCGCTATGGAGTGGAGACCATCGCTAGTAGGTTGGAGGCCATCGCTAGCCCACAAAGAACCACACTTCCGTGCTCCAGAAAATCCCGAAGCACACAAGCATTGGCTACTTCTGCTGCGACTTGGAGTTAACTACAAGGGCTACGGACACAAGAAAGATCACGTGAATCCCTAAGACTTGCAAAACAAAGTAAGACATTAATCATGCAATCCTCTCAACATGTATTAAGCACATATCTCCACATGAACCTGATAAGTTATCCGAGGCGCCAGCATGGCTCCACCCTTTGAGGCGATGCTTTGCTTCATCCGCGTCACGCAGCGCAACCAGAAGCGCGCGCGCAAAGCACAAGTCTTCCGTCCAGAGAAGTCCACCTGAAGCACGAGGAAGGAACAAACACATCCAAGAGCTCAGGCGAGCGAGGTTCCAGACCTACAGTAGGTCTTGGGTTTCTTCGACAGAGAGCCGGAGCTTTTTGGATTTGTTCAACAAAAAACAAACTCTTTTGTCTGCTACATCTTGCTTCGGCTTCATTCCGTGGCAGCTAACCCGTCACCCATCAGATTCAACAACCAGAGACTTCCTCCTTCCACTTGATGTAGATCTTAAACAAAAGCTGTGCAGCTCAAGGGTATCCTCGCATGGTAGCTCCCTAGGCCAGGGCACTGGTTTCCGCGTCTTGATGGACTTCTCAAAGTTGGGATCGGTCACGCGGCCGTAGAAAGAACCTGTTGGTCTTGGATGTTGAGCCTTTTTGGACCAAAGGATAGATTAATCCAACTTACTAGCGATGGCCTCCAACCTTTCTTGCGATTAGGCAGTAGATGTGGATAAAAAATGTTGCAGTGCTTGGATTCATAGTGACTTCAGCAAGGAAAGTCAGATAAAGAGGCGGACCGTGGAGCTGGCCTTCACTCTGTTCGACGACGCGGAGCGCGGACCAAAACCGTCCCGCCCCTTACGACGGTCTGCACGCTAGGTTGGAGGCCGCTATGAACTCAAAAGGCTTTGACTGCAAAGCAAGCTCCCTACAAGGAGAGCGTTTGAAAACACGTTCAATTGAGCTGCTTTTGTTCGATATTGTCACAAACTCTCAGGAAGGAGACTGATTATCACTTCATGACATTCCGCGTCAAGGTTCCACCATGTTCCACCGCATCTGTATCTTGCCCTCGCAAAAACACCCAATGAGCACCTCCAACCTAATAGCGAAGGCCTCCCACCTAGTATGTACCTCTCTTCTCTTCATACATTTACAGTCTACAATTCCCTAATCTTCGATCATGTTTCTCCAAGCAACGATCCAAAAACCGGGGGTCGAAAATAAAGACCGGCAGCAGCGGCCGTTGGTCCGTGAGCGCTTCAGCCACAGCAGTTCGGGCCACTGGATTGTCCTTCGAACTGATAGCACAATCAGGCAAACCAAAAGCATTCTAACAGAATGTTGGCTAAAAATGCTTGATATATTGTATATTTGTCTGTATATATATATATACATATCGTGCTTCGCATTTGTTTCTTGTCTTAATTCCTGTGTTCTGTTTGCTTTTGTGTTCCTTAGACCTTTAGACTTGTAATTGAACGGTAGAGGTGGAACAGGCTTGCCAGCTGGCGCTGATGTAGTTTGAGAGCTATTCTTGTGGGCTGAATTCAATCTGGAACAGCACGACTACTGCGCTGATTCCTTTCAGTAAGAGGCTGCTTCCAGTCCTAAGTAGTGTCGACATGATGCTAGTCTCTTCAGTTCAGCTCATCCATTCTTGCTCACCACTTGAACCGCCCTTAGAGTGCACGTGACATGGTCGCATTAACATTGCAGAAACACACCAAAAAGCAAGTCTTGGATCAGTCTGACCGTTTTGTGGGTAAGGCTTATCAGCTCCTGCAGGCGCAGGTCATTGCGCATCCACCAGACGACGGGCCCTGCGCTCCTGCAAAGCACATATGCTGCTCGACGGTTCTAGGGCAGAAGCAGTTGGCCTCCAACCTACTAGCGATGCCCTTTGCTCTGGCCTCCACCCTAGTAGCGGTCTGCTTACGTATTTGTTCAAACACTCTTTTGCCTAAGGCGAATGGACTCAACAGCGAACAAACAGAAGAGAAGTGTTTGCAAAAACGCAGTCCTTTACTAGGTTTATCGGTTCAAAAGGAAAGCTTTGCGAATGTGTTCTGTTTCTTTTCTTTGCTACTAGTAACATGGGCATTACTACTAGTAGCTACAAGCTACTAGTAACAAAGGTTCTGTGTCCTTTGCGCCTTTGCCTTTTCTTCGCCGCTCCTGGGCTTTTTCCATGGGGGTGCCAAGGCCATGACGTCGAAGGACCAACCGATCGGCCCAAGCAGCGCACACCGTCCGATTTGCTCCTAGTAGCGATGCCCTTTGTTCCTAGTAGCATCGTCTTGTTCCTAGCAGGAGCTACTAGTAGCGTCCTTGCTCCTAGCTGCTTGTCGGTTTTGTCGGCAAACCTACAAAGGTTGGAAAATGGTGAGGTGAGGTGAGAGAACCTCAGATCTTCTCCATACATGCTTAAGGAGCAAAAGATGCTGAAGTCAGGATGCGTCTGGAACAAGTTTAGAGGCTTCCCGTGATACACCCAGTCAGCCTGGAACATGCCAGCCCATACTTCGAAGCTCAACTAAACGGCAAAGCCGGTCGATGGCATCCCCGTAGAAGGAAAGCAATTCTTGAATATAGTGGCAAAGTGTGGTGAAGCTTTGTAGTCCACCTAGTAGCTTCTTGCTCCTAGTAGCGATGGCCTCCAACCTGATAGCTGGTAGCGATGGCCTCCACCTAGTAGATTCTTGTTCCTAGTGACGATGGCCTCCATCCAAAGGTCCTGAAGGTCCTGTGGGGTGAAATAGCAAAGTCCAAGACCGCTCTTGAAAGTTACTAGTAGCGTTCTTGTTACTAGTAGCGATGCAAGGAGCCCCTAGTAGCTTCTTGTTCCTAGTAGTATGGCCAGGAGCCCCTAGTAGCGTCCTTGCTCCTAGTAGCGTTCTTGCTGATTGAGTCCAAGACCGTCGTTCTTGCTGTTACTACTAGCGAGGCACTTGTTACTAGTAGTAACAAGAAGCTACTAGGAACAAGTGCCTTTTTGGTCGCAAGATGTCGCACCACTTTGGGGCGTTGCTTTACAGCCTCAGTTCACTGGCCATGAGCATCGGTTGAAGGGTCTGTGGTGAGTACAACCTAACACAGCTATTCCAACGAAAACTCAGCCTGCCAAGCAAACGCCCGAGAACTTTGGCGGAACCAGTCCAACTGATACGCAACTAGGCAGCCAGGTCGAAAGGCTTACCCTCGCATACAAGTCCCTCAGTAGTATCGCTCGGGCCTCTAATGCCATCCAAATTCTAGTCCAACCCAGGCAACACAAGGTTCCAGTAGACAGTACAACTCCTGCTTGCCTTTCAATTGAACAAACAAGAAAGAAATTAAGCAAGAAAGAAAGAAAAGTCTAACCTTAAATGCACCAGAAGAAGACCGCACAGCCTTCAGTATTCAACTCTTCCAACCAAGCGGTGGGGCCTTCTAGGTTTCCCGGCTGTGTCAAGTCCTGATCCTGAACAGCCAAAAGATGATTTGCATGTCGTTGTTTTTTGTTGGGGGGTACGCCGCTAGAAGAGGTAAGAAGAAGTAGCTAGTAGAAGAGTAGCTACTAGTAAGCTGCTACTTAGGACGCAGGATAGTTCACGCTATTGATTTGGTTCCTAGATTTTTAGGGAAACTTAACGCCCTATATGATATATACTCAATACAACCGCACTACCACTACAACTACTAGACCTCCACCCTAGTAGCGATGGCCTCCAACCTACCAGAGTTTTTCAGGCTTCGCCGGCTTGGCCTCGTCCGAGGAGAGGAGGTCAAGGACCTCAGATGGATTGTCGAGGCGGGGCATCTAAGTTTCCCAGAGCACTTCTTCACGGAAGCTACACACAAGGGACTTCCTTGCAGAAGTGGAAGCTATCCAGTGTCCATACTATTAGCGTCCTAGTAGCTAGGAGCAAACTCCTCCCTTGCTTATTTAAGTAGGCGCCTACTCAATTAAGTCGTAGGGTGGCAGAGCGGGCAAAGAATAGAAGTACGTTCCTACATATGGAGGCAGGCTCAACGCTTCTTCGGGGAAAAAACGCGCTTTTAGGTAAACTTAACTATATGATATCTTTCTTCCTTTTCCTTTTTCTTCTTTTTAGTACCGATGGCCTCCTACCTACTAGCGATGGCCTCCAACCTAGTAGAAGCAGTCTTTGTGGTCAACATTCTTATTCTGGACTCCCGGTGCTTTATGTACCTCCGAAAGCATTTGGGTCTCACGTTGAGAAACCCAAGCTGATTGAAATGCAAGACAACATGGTCTTTGTTGGATTCCCAGGGTGACAAAACGGTTTTTTTAAGCAGCATCTTCGCAGGTAAATTCTCCAGTAACAAGAAGCTACTAGGAACAAGTGCATCGCTTCCAGTAACAAGTGCCTTACTAGTAGTAACAAGGACGCTTCTAGTAGCAAGGTTATCTTCAATTGGAAAGATTGACATCACAAGAACGCTCAGTGCACGACGGTTGGCCTTGCAGGGCATCCCTACTAGTAACAAGGGCATCGCACCATAAGACTTTCACCCCCTCCCCCATTGAAAAAAAAATAGATAAAAACACACACACAATATCCATGCTATGTTTTGGGCATGGATGCCATCAAAGTGTGCTAGGGGGTCTTGTTTTTCCAAAATCTTACTGGATGCCATCTATTTATCCAGGATCTACCCTCAAGTGGTTGATGGCATTTCCCTAGTAGAGATCACAAATTGATAGCATATCAAAGGCGCTTTGCGAGTGCCATCAAAGTGTGATTCCCTATATATATAGCACTTGTTCCTAGAAGCGATGCCCTTGTTCCTAGTCTAGCAATGGTGTTTGCAAATACACCTTGCGAAACGAAAAGCGAAAACGGCTTCACAGCAAACTGCCAGATCGATCTTTCATGCCATGGCGCAGCAGTGCAAAGTGAAAACCTGGCTCAATCGGCCATCTTGGACCGGGGTGGCAACCAGCAAACGGCTCATACCGCTTCACTTTCACACTGGTCTTTGTTCTTTGGAACTTTGCTGGTTTCCACCAACTGGACCCAAGGGGACTGGCACCACAGGAGCAGTGCACACATCAATGCATCATCGACCTTTGTAAGGCCGTCGCTGTGCATCAAGTGGGTGGGAATCCACCTCACGTTCTTAGGCTCATAGACCTGCTGTACACTTCTCAATTCGACCATCAGCCGCTTCTCACTCACGGAGGGGTTCTCCTGGATGAGGCAGTCGTAGAGGCTTTTGGCATCCACGCACAACATGCTGGACAGCATAGCTCGGCCCTCATAGGACGGAATGCCATGGAGGAGCTCCGTCAAAAAGTAGTTGACGAAGCTGGCCCTGTCGCCGCCTGCGTCAGCGGCACACGCTTCTGCAGCGAGCGTGCTGCGGCAAACGCGGGGTGATCTCCCGCTCTTCCAGTCGAGGAGAACTGCGCCGCAGGTGACCTGTGTCACTTGTGGTGGGCACAATGTCACCAAAAGTCCGTACTGGGACTTGTGCTTCTCTGCGTTGGCCCAGCTCGAGTCGGTGAGTGTCACGATCACCGATGCCAGGTTGAGAGGGATCCCGGCGAAGATCAGGCCTTGATCTTTGCTCTCCTTCACGTGCTCCATCACTTGGTAGAGCTTGTGGAGGTCTTGGATCTGTGCAGCGCCTCCACGGTGAGTCAAAGAAGTCGTTGCGCATACATCTGGCCTGGTCTGTCCACCGAGCCATTGGAGTGAGCCGCAAATGCTTCTGTACTCCTTGACCTCATCAGTGGTCAGCTGCGGGTCACCTTGCAGTCGTCCTTTGGCCAGTTTGCCGACGTGCATGGTTTGGATGAAGTCCCGCTGTGTGACCTGATAGTGCCACTTGCCGTTCACCTGGTGCAAGGAGATTTCTTTTCCTCTGTAGGTGCCGGACTTCTCGGATGAGACTAAGGTCACGCTGCCCCATGAGAAGAGGTTCCGGAGGGTGTCCAGGTTGAAGGTCTCGGCATACACGGCCATGAAGTCGTCAACATGGACGATCATCAGACAGTCGAGAAGGCCGTCATCGCCGTGGTGGTAGTAGAAGCACCGGTCGAAGGTGTGTTGCTTGAAGTCAGCCTCTTTGACCGTGCGATCGACCTTCTTATACCAGACTCTTGGAGCATTGCTGAGGCCGTAGCAGTTGCCGGTGATTTGGTACAGCTCTGCTGAGTAGGCGCCCGAGGCCTTGATGATTGGGTCGTTGGGCGGCTCCATGAACAGAGGAAGGTCGTACCTCTCTGAGCTGTCCTGTTCACCTTGTAGGAATGCCTTCTCGGCGTCTGACAGCCAGAGGGACCAGCTTTTGCCGTCGCCTTGGAAGAGGCGGTTGGCACCACTTGCAGCTATGGCCATGATGATGGTCTCGGACAACCGTGTAGGTGTTGGGCTGTCACGTGTCAGCTGCCGAAGGTCAGGGTCTGCGCATCCAATCAGCACCACACGAGTCTTCGCTCGTAGCTCGCCGAGGCCTCGGCTTTTGTCCTTGTAGGCTGCTCTTGACCGCAAAATGCGGCGTTTCAGCACAGGGTCGCTCAGGACTTGCTTGACTTCGTCCTTGGTGAGTGGCCTGATGGTTGACCAGTTCATCCAGCCTTCATACTCGGTGTAGGCCGATTCGATGAACTTCTCAATGGCGGGCCAGGGCATTGCCATGATCTCTCTCCAAGGCAGCTCTCGGTCCAGTTGCTTGAGCTCTTGCCTGGTGAGTTGCCGCTGGTTGGACTGTGTCAAGTCGTCATCGGAGGTCTCGGTGTCGGACTGGTTGGGCTTGTGCGTTATGCCTTGTTCTGCCAGTTCCTGCTTGCGCTTGCTGCTGTTGAGGTATGCCTGGTAGAACTGGTTGCATGGTCGAGAAGTGCTGTTGTAGTCAGGGCTGCCATCCCAGTGAGGTTCTCTGGGCGCTGCCGCGCCGTCATCGTATGTGATGAACTGCTGTACCCACCAGTTGAGGTAGGTGTTGTGTGCACTGTCGCCGCTGGGCAATGCGGATGTGGCTGCTTGCTCAGTTGCGTGTCCTGTTGGTGCTGTATCAGCGTCGGTCAAGACAGGCACTGGTGTACTCGGTGCTGGTCTTTGTTCTTGGCCGACGGGTGGATATGGAGCAGTCGGTGTGCCTAGAGAAGCCCTTGTTCGGCCTCTCATGGATCGCGGTGTTGGGGGTGTTGGCCCAAACGATGGCTCAGGACCGTACCTTTGGTATGTCGGTGAGTCGATGTTGACCGTGATCTTTCTGCGATCCTGGTGGACGTTCACCGTCTGCTGGGTGTTGGTCTGCT